TCAGATTTTTGAGCCAAGTGGATTTTGAATGCAGCTTCTAAAAGACAAAAAATAGCCGAGTAATATTTTCTATATTTGATACAATCACACCAGCATGATTAAATAGTTCAGCGCGTCATATCATCATCAGCTGCTAAATTCAAATCTGTGTTCGCTGGCTGGCACTAAGCCAGAGACAGACACGTCGACGCGTTTTTACATCACTGCGCATTATAACCAATCACACACGATGCTGTTAAGTTTATGAATGCAATGACCAATTAGAGACGTTCAGATGAGTCATCGCTAAAATGCCGGTGTTTTGCTCACTGGCTCGCTGACTGAATACCGCTTTCTGGGGAATTCTTTCGTTAGAAACAACAAACTGCAGATGTGTATGAATCTGTAAATAAGATATTTCACAGTGTAAACAGCTTCAGTGATTTTAATGGGAGTTTTTGAGAGTGCTTGAACTAGACTGTCGGTGAAAATGTTCTTTGATAATGTAGAAATGTTCTTTGCTCTCTTTCTGTACAATGAAAGTGTTATGATTAGCAGCCTAACTTACAATGTTTTTTTTTTCACATTAACTTTCAATGTTAAATTCACATTAAATATAAAGTCAGTCGTATTAAAAATATGTTATGGCATGACACCCATATCTGTTACTTAAGTAAACAGACAGGTTTTTAATATGTATAATTAATAGACTACATTATTAGGCTACTTTGACCATCGCTCACTATAGATCAACTAACAATCTATAAAGGTGAGAATCGAGATATTTCATGATATAGTTAATGCATTTGGGAATGTTTCGAATAAAACGGAAAAATAAAAATAAAACAGGAGTGCTATTGTGGCTGCTGTCTCACGTGACAACGACCCTACCCCCCCTTACTAAATCTTACTGTTCAAAACTGTTGACTGGTAGGTTATATAGATTACAGAAATGTTATATTGTAATGTTTATATATGTTATATTAATATATATAATATAACATATATAAACATTACAATATAACATTTCTAACCCGCGTTTCGCCCTCGTTCACCTTTGAACAGACTTCCACAAGCGGGAGCGCGTGCAGGTGTGATATTATATCAATATCATGTCTATACTACAAGAGATCGATAAATAGGGGTTATGCGCAACAGACTTCCCTATTCTGTTAACCGGGTCTCGTCGCTTCCGGTTCAAGCGTTTTGCATATGCGTAGTTAAATATGAAGCAGTTTTACTCAAGATGCCTTCAAAGTAGATACCAATGATGATCATAACCAATGTCCA